CCCCTACCCTCACGGCATATCGCTCCGCCACGGCGCTGAAGGGATACGAGGTCTACGGTCTAACGACTACGGCATGCGTTTGCATAAGTCCCCCCCCCCCTCTTCTGAGTTGATTTTCGAATCGACGTATCCCCACGATTAAAGGGTGGTTACCACAAACGATATAGATGAAGCTTAAACAACCCGCCCTTCTTTACTTACACGACACGACATCTCTTCTGCCACCGCCCTTCTGGACGCGAAACAAATATATACTGGACATAAATATCGAGCGAAAATACTCACTTCAGCATTTGTTTTGCTTGCCCAACCAGACGTAACCTGTACTTTGGTTCATGCAAAGGCGTGCAAATCGTGAAGACTTTGGTTCACTCACTCTGTCTCGCCGTCCTTAACGCTCTTCAGCTTGAAGCTTTGGAACTGGTTCTCGCCCTGTTGGAAGAAGGACGCGAGGAAAGGAAAGGAAGGTGGCGATATCCCGAAAAAAACAGTCAGTCGTGAGCCCTTTGCATCCTCTTAGCACCAGCAACAACCCCAACGCCGATCGCAGGCGTCGGCACAACAACGACAAACCTCGAGAGCAAAGCCAGCAAAGCTTGGCCGGTGAAAAATGAATCGTTGCGATAGTGAACATGAATATAAGGCTGTTCACAGATTTGTAGTGAATGTATGTAAGACTGTTCACATATTTGTACATTGTTCTTCTTGGTTCGTTGAGTTTCGCTGGCCTGTTCGAGTCAAAAACACGCCGGCTGTGTGAGCCGTGGAGCTTGGGAAACGTCACTGATGGCAGCTATTTGTGTTGGTCCTGCTGCCTGCTTTTACTTTCATCGTGCATCACCCGTTGATATCACTGCTGTGCTTTCATGAGCCTAGTCCGGAGGAATCTATTGAATAAACATCACCTTTTGCGATAGAGCCTTCTTAAGGACCCCTTCCATTGTGTCCTTGCTGGAAAGGCTGGACCCTCCGATGAGCGACTTGGGCGCTACGAACAGCCCTGCCGAGTCCCCCCTGCCAACATCGATGAGAAAAAGAAAAACAATCGAGCTCGACGGAACCAGACGTTTGCCTGCTTAAGTTGGCATGTGCCTCTCAAGCCGTCCAGATGCACACCACAGTCGAGGCCGCTACTGACGGCGAGCAGTCCTACACAAGTCGCGAAAAACGAAAGATACACCACCAACCATGTGGTACCATGCACAGTTTTCTCACGATTTTATTTTCCTTTTCGCCTTGGCCCGTGGTGACCGTCCTTGGAAAAGTAAAAAAAAGCTTCATTGTGCTTTGGTGTCCGTTCCATTCTACTCAGTCCATGATACAGTACATACAAAAGAAACTGCACTTTCTACACAACTGTTGTGTCGGTTGGCGTGCATTGTTTCGCTCGTTTCTTACATACTTGCTGTTCTACTATCGCTCGTTGCTTGCTCGTTTCGTGCATAACTGCTGTCCTGTTGTCTTCGATTGTTTCGCTTGTTAGTTGCGGTTCGTTCACCTGCCGTAGTCCCCCGTTGAAACCGTCCCGGCCTCCTTGTTAGTGTCTGTGTTGGGCCTCTGGACGATCCACCCTTTCGGGTAGTTCCTGGACAGACACAAAAAATGGGGGGGGGGGTTAGGCGGGGGGGACGGGCGTGCTCATGTGTTGCACGCCTG